ATGTTCAAATCGTTTCATTTGACAATGTGGCGGATTGCTTGTTAGCGTTTTATAAAAAGACTAAAATTCTTAGCCAGATTGTAAAATATTTCATTTTCAACTATGATTTGAGAATGTGGTCGCACTTTATAAAATGCTTAGACGTTTTATAAAACGACGGATTATGTAATCTAGCTACGACATATATATATATCGTAGTGTATTTTATGGTTCTTCACGCAAAGAGATCTAGTTTAATTTTTTAGCATCAAATAATCACAAACTTCATTTTATTAATGTTTATTTATTGTATAACTATTAAATATAAAATAAATCAAAGTGATAATATAGAATCATGTGTAGTATGTGCGAGGGTGGAACTTGCACGAATTGTTCGTTAATAATTTGTGAGTGTTTCTCTTTTCTGACCTTTCATAAATATTGCAAGAATACTGAAGAATTTCTTTTTTATTTTTTCCTTTTTTTTTTCAAGATAAATCCTAACGAAACGTGTCAAAGCTGGATCCCAAGAGCTTTTAAAAATTGGACATTATTTAGATATTCGAAATTTCGAACGATTCTCCAGCAGGGTGAAATAATGGGACTTTGATGTTTGAGAAATCTTTTTAAAAATGACAACTCTCTACATAACGCTAGATAATTCCATAATAATTCCATAATAATATTGTGCTGGACGCTTATTTATAAGCTACGTTATTTACATTTTGTACTTATTTGTATTAGTTTATAATACTTTATGTCTACGCGAAAGACATCAAATACTTTAATAAAATACTTCAAAATTCGGAATATTTTCGTGCTATCTAATTAATCTAAATTACCGTGTGAAATATATAATTAAAGCGACTATTGTCGCTTTTTTATATTTCACAAACTTATTAAATCATTTTAATACATCGATCAGTGTATATAAAAACAAGAATGGATCGTGTGTCAGAATATCGGAGAACCGATCATTTTTTAAATGTCACATTTTCCAATAGACAATAGACCACTTTTCACAAGATACGCCTCGCGTCAGATAGATTAATTGATTTATTGAACGAAAAAGAAAGACGCCCAGAGTGCAACATGTGTATTAGTGAACACAGTTCACTCGTGTGTTCGTGAATAATATGCCGACACTCCTATCAACTCGATTCTTCGGATAAAATATTCGTTGGCCGCGTTGGCACGTTGGTCGATTTTTCTGTAACGCCGTAAAATTCCATCGCAAGTAGCGCTCTGTCACTCTACGTACTGACTATTACAAATCGCAACAGTACATCTATTTCGATCCGCTTCATCGCGAAACTGGAAAATCTAACTCATCGCGCACGCGATAATTCCATACTTCGCGACTTCCGCATCGGCGCGAGCGCGAAAGTAATTCAGAGAACACGGCGTTCTGTTTCTCTACCGTACGTCCGGGAAACACTGTCTACGAGGAGGAATGCGTAACAGGATTTAAATTTCAAATGCGAGCTTCCGCGCGCCACGTTTATTATTAGAACGGATTACGCTTTCTATGTACAAAGTTTTCGTTCGATGCAATTTCTGGCCGCAAGCGCATGTCCCTGCGTGAGAAAATCCATATTAGTCGTTATTGAAAAACCGCTCCCGCGCTTTTCCGCGAGATAAACGCATTCCGTTTTTGAGGCATGAAAGATTATCTGGGAGTTTTTTTTTTTTTTTTAGCTTAAATATTATTGCAATATTGAGGGATCTATATTACACGGAGCATCATGTATTTTAGTTATTGTTTTTTCGCGTTCGAGCGAATCGATAACGGAATTATTTTCTTACTTTTTAAGGAGAGACTCTCATCTTGAAATAAAAAATACGCAATATGTATATATTATACCCGCCGTCTCATTTAACTCGTCACGGTTGCTATGAGCGCGTACTCTCTAGGCACTCTTGCCTCGGATAGTCGTAAACTTATTACGTGTAACTGACGCTCGTGCATCTCATTATTACACGGACACGGTAAAAGCGGTAAGTAAAAGCAGGTCAGACTGATATTATGGACGTGCCCGCGCACAGATAAATCTTGATGCCGGACGAGCATCGTTATCGGTTAAATGCCAAATTCAATTCCGCCACGACATGATGGATCCGAATAAAGGATGATCGACTTCCGTTTTCCTTGCACGTGCAAAATTACCGTAGTAACTGTCGTATGTGAATATCCAGAATCGATATTAATACTGCGGTTCAAACGGCGAGTTATTACAATTGTAAAGATCGTTCAGAAAAATCTCGAAAGGTCTATTCGCAATAATGGTAAAGATATTGAAAAAGGCGAGAATAAGAAATTTTTAAATTAATTAATAAATAGAATTAATAAATAATAATAATTTATTGAATACATAATTTTGTGAATTAATAAATAGAGAAAATTGATATAAAAAATTATCATGAATTAATTTAGCTACCTTGATTATATTAGATCACATATTTTTGTGTAAAATTGTATCTCGAACTTTGCGTTAGATTATTTAATAGTGTTGGGTAACGTTTTACTTAATTTATTTTCTTTCCGTGGTCTGTATTATTCCTGCGCGATTTGCGCCACGCTGTGAAAACATTTGGACTTTCCCAGGATAAGCGTAGTTTTTCAAAGCGCCCGTGTCACAAGCGGCGAGAGAAATCCCTGACCTAGATAATTATAATATTATTTACTTAGGTCAAAAGAGATACCTCTACGGACACGCTATAATAAACGAAATTAAAGTGTTTGTGTCACGCGCAATCATATTGTGTCAATCACACGCTTGTTGTTAACGGCGATGCATAGGTCGAGATATATCTTGCGAAACTTTCGCGGTAATCGCATTACTTTTCCGCTCTCGTCGCAATTATATCAATTGCAATTGCGTAACAATGATTAATTTCCTATAGCGGAAAGAACTCGAATTAAACGCGTCGATATGACGTTCGCGCCGTTTATTTATTTTAATTGAATCTGCTTCCAAGCACAATCGATCGCGCGTTATCTCGTCGCGCGAGAAACATTCGTCGTTGCGTATTCGTGCGCGAATATTTTTCGATATCTGCCAATAAATCAGCACGCGCGACGAGCGTTGATTCGCCTCAATGAATTAACACATCGGCAAGATAATTTATCATCTTAACAATGAAAAAAAAAAAAAATGAACGGTACGGGAAACGCTCGTCCGATAATAATAACGTCGGCTTGAATACTCGCGCTTTATATATATCGCGACGTAAGCGATAAAGGCGTTCACGCAAAATAAAAGCCGTAAACCTCGATGAGTGGATCTTAGTCTTACGTCATCGTTCGCTATAAATTGCATGGCAAGCGTCGATGAGATTCGATCGATGAAGCATTAATCCGATCTCTGTTTTCGTCGAACCGATTGAAAGGAAAAGAATTTTCGACTCGTTTCTTACGAGGAGAAACCTTGTGACGAGAAAGAGCGAACGATCCGAGCGCGGTTCGTCTCCCTTATTACGGTGCCATAGCCGTTCGGGGAAGGTTTATTTTTACGTTCCTCGTAATCCTCGTAAAGAGCATCCGGAGCACGCATAGCGAAGAAATGATTCGCCGCAAGCTCCCGACGAGCGATGCGGCCGCGTTCCGCACGGCGGAAAGCGCGCGCGGCGGAGACGCCCTTGCGGATCCCGCAGGAAGTTGCGGGTATATGTATCGAGATTTTCGCGACCCGGTATTCATATCGTATTTTCGTGCGCCTCCTATACACATGGGAGGACGGAATGCGAGATGGACGATGCGCCGGCGAATCCCGGCTCGTTTCGGCGCGTCGTGACACGACGATGCGTTTCGCAATTACGAAGACAATGCGTTCCCTCGGCAGTAACGTCGGCTCGCTATTCCCATCGTCGTCCAGCGCTAAATTTGGTCGAGCAGTTTTTATCCCGTGCTCGCATTAGCGCCTGTTAGACGAATAAAAAAATAGGTGAATGAAAATGATTTTTACGATATTTTATTATAAGAGTCATCGATCTTTTTATAAAGATACGATCGATTTATGAATAACAAATTCTCTTTCAATGATTTTCTTTCCGCGATGTGTATTATTTCTGAATTTTTAATTCGAATTATTATAATAAAATTATTATAAATAAAATTATTATAATAAAATTATAATAAAATTAATCAAATAATATTTATTTGAATTTTTAATTCGATATTCATGTCAAAGAAAAATCGAGTCGTTGAAAATTATAACATAATTTCTAAGACACTCTTCGGAAATTCTCAGGGTACGAGAGATGTACTTTACTATACTTTATATCTATTTTATATTTACTTGCGAGAGTAAGAGTCTCTGAATCACAGATAATTATAGTTGGCGCGCAAGTTTAACGTGCATCTCGTATACGGTCCATTAGTTTTCCATACTACGAATTTTTCCGAACCGATAGTTTCTTCTTGCTATCATTCTACCGAGTGTATTTTGTTTTTTTTTTTACCATTGCCGATGGTACGTCCACGGAGCGATTAATTATTGCTCCTACTTACGCTAAAAATAATGGTGACCTCTTTCTCGTGCGGAGTAGACCGAGCCGCTGTGCTTGGTATGCGACTGTCGTATACAGTTTAACAATCGATCAGAGTTGATATTTCGAATTCACCGACTCACCCGTTATATCGTATACAAAGCGAAGATCTAAAAAACGACGAAAATTTTAGGAATTATAATAAAATTGAATGAAGCGTGTTTAATTAATCAACTTTGACAGAGCAATCTCTCTACTTGCCTCTCTTATTCGTAAACCTCGAGAATCTTTCAAAATGTACATAAATCTATGCTACGAAGATTTTAAAGTCAAGATCCCAAACTCAGATAAAAATCAAATTTTAAACAAACATCAATTTGTTTTTTGTCTTATTTTTTATCACTGTCACATTCGATTTGTGAATGGAAAATATTTTTCAATTCACTCTAATAATTATTTTAGATAAATGACTAGAATAATATGTCTCTTTTTTCCATTTGCCACGTACAAAGAACTCATGATGTGCATTTCAGTGACACGAAATGAATCGAAGAGTAGGATACAGCAATTACGATGGCAAGATCGCCGGGCTCTACGACTTGGAGGAGACTCTCGGCCGCGGCCACTTTGCCGTAGTAAAGCTGGCACGGCACGTTTTCACCGGCGAAAAGGTCGCAGTGAAGGTCATCGATAAGAACAAGCTCGACGAAGTTTCGAGGTCGCATCTCTTCCAGGAGGTGAGAGAAATTGTCGTCTTTGTTATATGACGCGATTGTCAGCAAATATATTCCAAATTCTTCCACGATCCGTTCAGTTTGATCTTTTGCCTTTTCAACAGAAACGAATAAAGAAAATATCTCTCTGTTAAAAATAACTTAACTAAATGTTAAAATGCGAAAAGTTGATAGAAAGCATATGAATTTAAATTATTTTTTTTTTCTTCAAATATTCTATTTTCTTTTTAGTATTTTTTTTATATAGAATTAAGTTGTATTGCTATTTCAGATTTATTTTTTTATCTCAAATTTATTTCAAGTCGAAATAAAATTGCAATTGACAAAAATTTAACAGATAGAATTCCAACGATGTTCATTGTTTATATCTATCTTCATGAATCTGCAATCAAGCTAGAGTTGTTTTCCGTCTCGAATCTGTTTGATGCCTTAATGGATATAGTAGGCTCATTGAAATGGCATCCTGATTCGCGTAATGTGATTTTAATGGCTGGTCGATAGTATAATCGGAAATCGAATAGCCTCGCGCACAGTTCCATCGCATGGATTTTATCGCGATGAATCTCGTTAAGGTCATCAAGATAATGATGCAATTGGACGGCGAACGGAATCATTGACTCCTGGATACAGATTTGCTCGGGCAAAACAAATTTTTTTCTTGCACATTGATTATGATTGCGAATAATCTGTGTCGTAGGTGCGGTGCATGAAACTGGTGCAGCATCCCAATGTAGTGCGGCTATACGAGGTGATAGACACGCAGACCAAGCTATACTTAATTCTCGAGCTTGGGGATGGCGGAGATCTCTACGATTACATCATGCGGCACGACAGCGGCCTCAGCGAGGAGGTATTGTTGCATGGCCATTGTGATTTTATTGTCGCTATCAGTTTGCAATTATTACGCAAATAAAAAATATAATTTTAATTTTGATATATAAAAAGTTAGCATATTAAATACTAATACTAAATACTCATAATATGATTTTGACAAGAACATATTTTTTTTACGAGATATATGTCGATTAAGAAATTCTAAAATTTTCCATAATAATTGCCCAAGCATCTGCCATACATCATAATGTTTGAAATATAAAATATATTGCTTTCTACCTGTCAGCTGGCCAGGACTTACTTTCGGCAGATAGTTCGGGCCATATCTTACTGTCATCGTTTGCACGTAGTGCATAGGGATTTAAAGCCCGAGAATGTCGTGTTCTTCGAAAAGCTCGGTACGGTCAAACTCACGGACTTCGGATTCAGTAATAGATTCTGTCCTGGTCAGAAGCTCGAAACTTCATGCGGCTCATTAGCGTACTCCGCTCCAGAGATACTTCTGGGTGATAGTTACGATGCCCCCGCAGTAGGTAAGCTCGTTAATTAATGTGATTAAAGATTAAGAAAGATGACTTAAGTTATTAAGACTTGTTAATTATTTAGCAATTTCTAAGAGCTCCAATTTTAACGATAAAAAGATTCAAGGTATTCTTTTTTTTTTTTTTTTTTTTTTGTTATTTTGATTTTGAGTTATTTCTTTTGTCAAAAGTTTTCTGAAACGTAATCGATTTGATTGAGAAAAAGATCTGAAAGTGAAATCTTACTTCGATAAGCTACGTTTGTCGTTTTGATTTGTTACAGATGTTTGGTCGTTAGGTGTAATATTATACATGTTAGTATGCGGCCAAGCGCCGTTTCAAGAGGCGAACGACAGCGAAACGTTGACAATGATTATGGATTGTAAATACTCGATCCCGTCACACGTGTCCGATGGTTGCAAGCGGCTGATCGCGAAGATGCTCGTGCGGGAACCCGAAGGCAGAGCGTCTCTCGAGGCGATCGCGGCGGATTCGTGGTTAGCGATTGGTTCCGATTTGGACACTATAGAGACATTACCGCTCGTGTCGCGTCAACAGGTGTCCGATGATCATCACAATCACATAATTACCAAAATGGTTAACGGTAATATCGCCACCAAGGAAGAAATATTGGAGTGAGTAAACATTAGGAAGCCTTGCGGTGTTAGTATATATTTTGAGCATGCGTTCGCGTCGGCGCGATTTTTTACTCGGTAATTTTCATCACGGATCTTTTTGCAGCGCACTCGATAAGAACGAGTACAACCACATCACCGCGACGTATTTCTTGCTAGCGGAAAGGAAGCTGCGCGCTCATCGACAGGAACAGATGCTGAAAACTCGACCAGAGGTTCTAAATGTTTCTCCGAGGTATGTTTTAAGTACTGAATCACGCATTATTAGTGTTGCTTCTACGTGTGACTCACTTATAAAATATGCGAGTTCTAAATATTTATGCCGCGCGTCAACTTGAATGAAGTCACTAACATACTAATGTACTTGTTGCTAATTTTGCAGCCGGCAAGATGATCTGACAACAAATCTTCGAACGGATCAGAACTCCCTGGGCACTGTCAATCAGTCGTTATTGAGCGTGCCACGGACGCCCGGTGATGTACCGCAGGTACGTATCGCATGCTCGTCTCCTAAAATGACATCGACTAATGTGACCGAATGTAACGTTAAGGCAGGCATATAAAGTATCGTCTGCCGGATAACGTTCCTCGCTCGGGAAACAAAGATGGCTGTTCTCATTGCAGAACGTGCGTACGCGCAAATGCAGTATCGTCCAAGAGGAGGAAGACGAAGATGATGTGTCCTCCTGTTCCGGCCGTGATGAGCGCGGCAGTAATTCGACGTTAAATTCCTTGAATCGCCGTGGTTCCCGTTCCGAGGGAAAACTTTCGCATATCCTGCAGGAGCGGTTATCGCAGCTTCCAGAGAAGCATACTAGCATAAAACCCGTGCAGGGTCAACGGCATCCGCACCAGAAAGAGGACATCGTTATCGCCGACAGAGAAAGACTGAAACAGAGTTCAAGAAACGAAAAGGATAACAAAAAGTTATCGTCGCCGGTGCATTCGAAGACGACGGGAAAAGTTCAAACGGTAAAAGTTCAAACGGGTAACGTTCTTTTGGAGAAGCTACCTGCGTCACCACGGATTACCACAACTTGCGAGGAAAATCTGAAGAATCGATTAAGTGATGTAAATGCTCCAACCACAGGATGGTCTAGAAAAAGCAACAATACGGAAGTCAGGCCGAAATCGGTGACAGAATGTTTAAACCGGACTGGCGGATCGATACCGGCAAACAAGTGGAGGATGGGTACTCAGCATCATCGGTTCAGCGTGCCGCTCACGGAGCCCACGATTTCCTCGAAACCGTCCCAAGTTCCTACGAAAACAATAGTGACGACAACTACTACAATTTTGCTCGAATCATCAACCGTGTCGATACCTCTTCATCCGATTAGCGACAATCAAGTGACATTAACGCCTAAGTACAAGACGATGCCGTCGCCCAGCAGCGGTAATTCGTCTACAACGCAACTCAATGAAATTCTGGAGGATGGAGATTGCATGCAGGCGTCGGTGAACTCCACAGAATGCGGAGGTTCGACGACCAAATGCCGCGTCGTCAGGCGAACGGCGTATGAGCAACGGAGGAGCAAATTCCATAAGACGCGCACAACCTCCTGCTCGAGTTCCGACGCTAGCGATGACGACAGCGAAAGTAGGAAAAAGAGGGCACATAAACTTGGAGCCTCCACCGGGAAACCTTTACCTCCAAGACGCGACAGTCACGATGACTCGAGCGACTCGCAGGATCCGGGAGGAAGCGGCGGCGGGCGAGGCGGAGTGGTCGGCGGTGGAGGAAGCGGTGTGAGCAACGGCGAACATACGACGACGACCGAAAACAATCGAAACGACAATAGTAGCGGCACTAACACAACAAACACAAACACAACGACAACAACCGGAGGTGGGAGGCATCGATGCACCGAGAATCAGGTCATCTTTGGTAGGAGACATCGCGCCGGCAGAAGAAGAGCCGGCGAGACGCGTTTGCGAGAGAGCCAATCGTTGAATCGTATCACCGAGGTGCAAGAGGCCGAGGCACCCTCGTCTTGTCACAATCACTCTCACATGTCGCGTAATTCAACCGTAGTCGGCGCACCAAATGTATCATCGTCTTCATCATCGACATCACAGAGCAATACGGCTTCCCAGCAGAGCGCTGCTCAGCCTGTCTCTCAAGTGGCAGCCACCACGGTACAGAAGGCTAAAGGCCTCGGCGCGAGGCTATTGCAAAGCTGGTCGCTCAGCGCTGGAAAGTCCTTGATATCGCATAGCTCAAATAAACAATCTGCTCATAGCCCCGGTGGCAAAAGTAATAATCATCGTCAATCGGACAATAGCTGTCAAACAATCAGTAACGCCAGCGACGAACGTCGCGGAGATCACAAGTGCACCAGCCAAACAACATGCAACGACAAGGAGAATCGCGGCAACGGCTCGATAAACCGAAACGAATGTAAGAATAGGAAGATTCGGTTGTTAAGCCGCTATTTCGCCGTGCACAAGAAGCTCTGCGTACCGTTACCGGGCTTCGGTAAAGGACGTCTATACAAGGCTCGCTCGTGCGGCAGCATCACGCGCGATCGCGTGAGTCCGCCATCGCCCAAGTCGATGCTGTTTTGCTCTACAGCTGCGGCCGAGGACAAGTGGCGGGAACGTCGTCAATGGTGCGATGCCGCGACGAAGCAGCATCGTGGCAGCGACGGCGACATTAATCAGAATCTTGGCCTCGCGCATCTCGTACAGGAGAGCATCGTCGGCAAGGGCTGCACCAAACTGCCCGCCGTGTGCCACATTCATCTCGGAGACGCTTCCAAGTGTTGCAGTCTTTGTTGATGAATCGCTTCCGCTCGGAAGAAGTGGAAAACTCGAGCGCAAGATGAGAGACACAAGTGCGGGTAGGTAAGTGAGGTTCTAGTGCCAGTGACATAGCTAAATAGCGTGAAACTTTTTTTGCGCGACAATCTTTTCTGTAAACTGTATATAATTTTTAGCGAGTTATTTTATTGATACAGAAATATTCTTATCGTTTAAAAGATCTGATTTTCGTGTTTTTTTTTTTGGGGGGGGGGAACCTTTAAAACAGCATAGGTGCCGCGTCTTGGCATACTTTAAGAAAAATAGCGATTAACTGCATTTTTAAGTGCAAAATCGGTGTCAGATATGTTTATATAGAAACAACGTCATAAGCAATTTAGAGTGCAATATATGTGCTCGCAATTAATATTTCCAAAAAGAAAGGTATGATCTGTTCCTCTCGCTGATGCCGAAATTACATTAAGTTAAGGAGGCGCAATGCGATTAATATCCGCGCGTATGGTAACCGTTAATCGCGATATATTACGTGGTTTTGGTCTGCCATCGATTTACTTGACTGATTACATCATATCCCCGCTGAGGAGGGGGGAGGGGGATTATTATATTATTATTATTATTATTAATATTATATTATTATCACTCTACACTATTCTAATGCTCTATTACTATTATATCCGCTACTATCACTATTACAATCGCTATTATTATTATGAGAGATCCCGTATCGTCTTCAAGATTATCGCTATTGTCACTATTATCATCATCATTATCGCCACGTCTTCATTATCGCCCTCTTTCCCATTTCTTCTAGATAATGTAAAAACATAACACGATATAGTAATGCATAATGCGTCGCAAAAATAATTTGCATCTTGATTCAGATGCAACTTGCGATTGATCGGGTACAAAGTCGCGCAGTGCGAATAGTGTCTTCCTCGTCGTATTTCTTTTTCTCCGATTCTTCTCTTTTTTTTTTTTTTTAAGTACTATTCCTTTGTCCTTCTCCTCCCCTATATGACATTGCCTTTACACAAAAAGCTTCCTAACTCGTTAACTTATTAAGTACAGATATAGTTTCCGAATGGCGATTGACTATATATTCATATAAATTAATGCGAATCGTAATCAAACATACAGAGAAAAAGAGAAAGAGATGCGTGCTCTATGACAGATAGCCTGAGTTGCGTTTAAACGAAAGGAGGAAATGATTAAGGAGGGAAAGAAACTCGCTCTACAATGTTTGTGTGTATAATATATCCGTTAAAAACGGGAATTTAGAAGTGTACTTCTTGTGTGTGGAGCGAGCAATGCGCGACGTATATAAAGCCCACCGAGCGCATAATATTGCGCGCAGATATTAGAAACTTAAGAGTAAGCGACGATAATAGCACAATCGTCACTATCGATCTATTCTCTTCTAGATCTAAATAATCGGCAGCGAACAATAGATGCACTGTTGGAAAGTTTGTGTTTTCTCGTTAAAAAATATGACGACTAAAATTTTTGTGTTAAATATTTAACACGTTCATGTGTTAATTTAACATATTGCTGTTGTGTTAATTGAACTCAAATGTTAAATTATTAAAACAAGTGAAAAAAATGTAAAAATAACACAATGTGCACATATTTTTAATTTTGCACAATAGATATGTTCCATATTATTAGTGACAGAATTTATCTATTAAAGTTTACAGAAAAAAAATGTTGATTCTATTCTACAGTAGGAGTGAGAGTGACTATAGACCGTCATAACATTTTCCCAAGTTATATATATATAATTTTATCATTAAAAATATGTTGATTCTACACAAAATTTATTTCAAATTACTATGAAGTTTGCATTCATTTTGTGTTGAAATATTAACATAGTATTAGTGTCACTATTTCACATATCCATATTATGTTAAATTAATACAAAAATTTGTGTGGATCGTTTGGGACATGCGATATATGTTAAAATTAAGCCAAAATTTCCAACAGTGTATGCAAGATCTATTTGAACGTGCTTGCCGGTTAAGCACGTCTCGCGACGTTCTTCGTTCTTGCGCCACGTATCAATGGTCGCTTAGACGGACTATCGTCGATATTTAGTCATCGTCATCGTCTCTCTATCATCGTCATCATCGCGAGTGCGGCAACTTAAAAAAAGCCATGTTAAAATCGCTAATATAAATATAATAAGTGTTTGTTGTGCAATGCAGAGAAAATTCGTCGGACGATCTCGTCTTTCTCTTATAAATTGCGATGCGAACATTTTTTCGCAATTTATTATCATCTGATCGTTTATATCATTTGTCCCGCGATTCATCCTTTTCTCGCGCTTTTACATCAATTTTTATGAGTCTCGATGATCGAGTGCTGGACACTCGATAAATGCCGAAATATTTTCTTTTTCACGAGAGTCTACGCAATTTCAGCCTCCCCATTTTGTATTATATGTACATTATATTACATTTAACGTTATTAAGAAGGAAGTGTAAGATATATCCATGTAAATTCGGATTATACACGTCGTATGATAATGTTAATTGTAAGGCGTAACTATTGGATTCGTCGAATTCCTTCATTTTTTTCATCTTTAAGGGGGCATACCTGTTTGAATTTTCGAAAAATAAATACATTTTCTAAATTTTTTTGCAGCGTAACAATTTTATAAAAAATTTTTTGTTTACAGTATTAATACAATATTATTAAGTACTTGAATAAAAATTTTCAGCTTAAAATAATTTTTTTTTTTAAGTTACGCGAATATGCAGAGCTTCTCCAATTTTAGGAAGCTGCACGGTGTGCACGAAAACGTTTGTTTATCGTAACCGTAATAAAAAATATAAGTTTTTTTTATTAAACATATTAATTATTTGTTATCCAAGCGTTTTTTTCAAAATTTTTAAAAATAAAAAAATGGCAACATTGAAAAAGTTCTGTTTTTGTTAAATCCATCTTTTTTTGTTTATAACAAAAAAAATTAGGAATCGGATTTTAAAAAAGGTTTTGTTAATAGATGCGAAATCTTATTAGGAATTTGCATTTCAAGTCAATCCGTCGAATATAGCCAGAGTTTTCATGCACACCGTGCATGAAAATATAAATCTGCAAATATTCGCATAACTTTTAAAAAGAAATTTCTTTTAAGCTGAAAATTTTTACTTAAGTACTTAATAATATTGCATTAATATTGCATAAAAATAAAAAGTTTTTATCAAGTCGTCGCGCTGCAAAAAATCTAGAAAATGTACTCATTTTTCGAAAGTTTAAACGGGTATGCCCCCTTAAGTTCGCGGGGCAAAATGCATCGATTGTAACTACTTTGATAAAGACTGTAATTTTATCATTAAAAATATGTTGATTCTACACAAAATTTATTTCAAATTACTATGAAGTTTGCATTCATTTTGTGTTGAAATATTAACATAGTATTAGTGTCACTATTTCACATATCCATATTATGTTAAATTAATACAAAAATTTGTGTGGATCGTTTGGGACATGCGATATATGTTAAAATTAAGCCAAAATTTCCAACAGTGTATGCAAGATCTATTTGAACGTGCTTGCCGGTTAAGCACGTCTCGCGACGTTCTTCGTTCTTGCGCCACGTATCAATGGTCGCTTAGACGGACTATCGTCGATATTTAGTCATCGTCATCGTCTCTCTATCATCGTCATCATCGCGAGTGCGGCAACTTAAAAAAAGCCATGTTAAAATCGCTAATATAAATATAATAAGTGTTTGTTGTGCAATGCAGAGAAAATTCGTCGGACGATCTCGTCTTTCTCTTATAAATTGCGATGCGAACATTTTTTCGCAATTTATTATCATCTGATCGTTTATATCATTTGTCCCGCGATTCATCCTTTTCTCGCGCTTTTACATCAATTTTTATGAGTCTCGATGATCGAGTGCTGGACACTCGATAAATGCCGAAATATTTTCTTTTTCACGAGAGTCTACGCAATTTCAGCCTCCCCATTTTGTATTATATGTACATTATATTACATTTAACGTTATTAAGAAGGAAGTGTAAGATATATCCATGTAAATTCGGATTATACACGTCGTATGATAATGTTAATTGTAAGGCGTAACTATTGGATTCGTCGAATTCCTTCATTTTTTTCATCTTTAAGGGGGCATACCTGTTTGAATTTTCGAAAAATAAATACATTTTCTAAATTTTTTTGCAGCGTAACAATTTTATAAAAAATTTTTTGTTTACAGTATTAATACAATATTATTAAGTACTTGAATAAAAATTTTCAGCTTAAAATAATTTTTTTTTTTAAGTTACGCGAATATGCAGAGCTTCTCCAATTTTAGGAAGCTGCACGGTGTGCACGAAAACGTTTGTTTATCGTAACCGTAATCAAAAATATAAGTTTTTTTTATTAAACATATTAATTATTTGTTATCCAAGCGTTTTTTTCAAAATTTTTAAAAATAAAAAAATGGCAACATTGAAAAAGTTCTGTTTTTGTTAAATCCATCTTTTTTTGTTTATAACAAAAAAAATTAGGAATCGGATTTTAAAAAAGGTTTTGTTAATAGATGCGAAATCTTATTAGGAATTTGCATTTCAAGTCAATCCGTCGAATATAGCCAGAGTTTTCATGCACACCGTGCATGAAAATATAAATCTGCAAATATTCGCATAACTTTTAAAAAGAAATTTCTTTTAAGCTGAAAATTTTTACTTAAGTACTTAATAATATTGCATTAATATTGCATAAAAATAAAAAGTTTTTATCAAGTCGTCGCGCTGCAAAAAATCTAGAAAATGTACTCATTTTTCGAAAGTTTAAACGGGTATGCCCCCTTAAGTTCGCGGGGCAAAATGCATCGATTGTAACTACTTTGATAAAGACTGAGAATATTCCGCAATGACTTCAATAATATCTCGAGTATCAGCTCTATCTATACCTATCAATGCGTCGCACGATGACGATGACCTAACGAGACCAAAAATAATAATTCGTAAGATTCACAGACCTAAGTTTGCGCTAGCTACAAAGTGCAATACAAAGTCGTACAAAGCCAAGTACCTTGCGTCGGTGTAGTTGTTGATTTTAAGGATTCGATTCGATTTTATCTTTTTCACCCTATTGTAGCGCGTATTGCAACTCGGGATCTACTTTTGAAACTCGGAACTAACAATCGCGGTGTACATGGGCATTAACGTTATTTCGGTGTGATGAGAGAATTAATATAATATCTCGGGGAATGATAGAGAGAATTTTAGGGTATACAAGGATCTCTCTTCGCCACGAATAATCAGACACAGTTGTAAGCGACAAAAAAAAAAGAGAGAGATTATCTAGTGCGAAAAGCTCAAGCAAAATTTCCTCGTCAGGAGGTCACGCGCGGCTTGTGTCGGTCCTATATATTTATGTAATAAAGCGAAAGCGTTTCCCCTCGCGCGAAACTCGAATAATGTATATTCTGGAGCTGCAAATAGAGAGTAAAGTGTCTCTTCCATCAACGTAAAGTGTACATATCTTTGGCATTTTCCTATATCTGGGAAAATTCATATATTCTAGGCGAGCTATTGATAAATAAAAGAGAGAGAAAGAATAAGATATTTTCGTGCTATAAAACGGAATGTGCTGTAACCGATTCACACAACAATGACACACATATACACATTGGGTTGGTTTCCTAAGATACGCGATACACGCACATAACGTATATATATAATAACGTATATGTCGCTAAAATGCAAGTTGACGTAATCACATCGAACGCATGTAATTCCGTTGTAAACCTCGGCTTCGTTGTTGTTGCGCTGTTCGTAAATCGCCACCCTCCTTCCCCACCGATTAGATTTTAGCGAATAAAACCGCTATTCTGAACAAGTCGCACCATGAGTGCGAGATAAAATTTTTTTAACGGTCTACTCTTTTCACTCTCGTCCTAATGTGTGAATCCGGCCTGAACAGACCAAAGTCCCGCGTCATTCCCGTAGCGTCCGATTCGTCATCCCGATTTACTGCCAGCTAAATGTGTTAACGACGCATCACTTTACTAAGCCGGCATAAGATGAGATCTGTGTAAACCGCCAAGCATGATTGTTCATACACAATGTGCCCGGAAAAAATAAACTAAAGTGACAAAGTTAACACCTACATCGTGTGACTATCGTATTTCTCCCGTCGTACTCTTCTCTTTCAGTACACATTATCCTCTTCACCGTCTTATCTTTTACAGATGAAAGGATAGAAAAAAGTAAGTAATTAGGATTATATGCATTATAAATTTTTTAATTTTTCACAACTTTGTTCGTCAATAACATATATTGTATTTTTATAATCTCTGCTTATGTATATTCCTCTCTTTCAAAATAACACAACTATATATATCGTTATCAGCGAGCTGTTTAATTGTATCTTGCATGTTTGTATCAAAATGAAATTATCTACATATAGGCACTCTTGTTTATAAAAAAAAATATATATATTTACAGCAATGGAGATATAAAAGTCTGTGTTTGTAACAGTATAACTTTACGTATAGACTTATGTTCTAAAACGCAGAATAAACATCTTATAAATTAAATTATTCGCTAATCACTTTTCTAACAATACGAAATAAGTTTGGACTGTCAATCAGCGTCTTTGCATTAGCTGCGCGAACGTTGTATTTCTATTTCAGCTAAGATTATATAGAAATACGCTTTTTCTTTCATCATATAAAAAATATTTTTAGAAATAGGAACTTCGAAAAAATATATAGAATAATTCATAACATTCTTTGCGTAATGTAATCAGTCCGTTGAATCGTAGGAACGATTCTTTGTGTGCAACACTGCGCTTCGTTGGTATGGAACGACTTCGGTAATTGTGCTATAGAGACTAAGAGAAGACAGTTTGTGCGCGCGTGTACGAAAGAAAACTCTACTTCCCCGCGTCTCGTCTCCGCGACTTTACAATTATTTTCTGAGAAGATTATTAGAACATCCAATACCATTTTACGCAATATTCCGGCGTGAGTTTTACGCCCTTCAACACGTGTGGTATTGGTCGAACATCGAGTTTTCCAAACAATCAACGATGCATTCTTTCAAGAGAAGCATCCGATTGAAACAATAATTCCTGTTACGCAGCCGCGGATCCTCGCTGTTCCATCTGTCTCAGAGCTTTCTTACTGTTCTCCACAAATTCCTGAACAAAAAAAAAAAATTGTTTTTTACAAATAATTACAATAATTAACTCGTTAAAAAATCTGCTGATGCTAATATAATACAAACCATTAAACCGCGGCTCATGAAATAAGGTCGGCTTATGCCGTCGTTCTTTTCGCAGTCCTCGCAGAAGCACAGGAATATCGTGTCAATGATCATCTATAAAGAAATAGTTTTTTTCCATGGGAAATATTTATTTAGATATTTATTTAATAATAT